GGCTGTTTCATTTTCTATCTGACACCTCTCATAAGTGGGACTATCACTTAGTCCCAGTTTGAACAGGTGTCCTTTGAGGTGACAGTGTCCTGTAAGTAGTCCTACCACCAATCGTAGCTGGTTCCTGTTGAGCTTCAACAGTTCCTTCGCTCTTTTATCAGAAGGTCCTCGTATGAGTCCCTTAGCTTGCCCGAGTCCAGTTAAGGATTCCCAGTATTTCTCATGTTTTATGTTAGTCCAGTCCCTGATTGCCTGTTTGGCAACTCCTAGAGAGATGCCACAGGCTGGTTGAGGTCCTATGAACGGATATTCAGCTCCAATTTTAGCTAATTGGTCTGCTGCTTCATTTCCAGCAATACCCTCATGCCCCGGCACCCATATCAGTTGTACCCTGTTATGTTTGGCCAGTTCCATGAGGGTTTGGTGGCAATCCCAGACCAATTTTGAATTGATTCGGTGTTTGTCAAGTGCTTTGAGTGCTGCTTGGCTGTCAGATAGAATGTAGATGTTCCTATTTCTATAGTTCCTATCTAAATTCTCCATAATACATGCTTTAATGGCATATACTTCTGCCTGGAATACTGTCGTGTACCGCCCAAGGCTGAAACTAAGTTTCCGCCTCGTACCATGGCAGTACACACCAGCTCCAGTGCCTTTATGTGTCTTGGAACCATCTGTATACCAGATCAGTCCCCCTTTTCTGTCGGGCTGAAACCCGTTTTCCCATTCACTCCTGTCAGGAAATCTGACTGTGAAGGGGTTTTCATATACATCTCTCAGTATCATTTTGTCAGTCCCCATTTGTAATATGGGTTCTTTTGTCATGTCGTGAGTCATGTATGCATGGCCGAAACCATCAGATCTAGCTTTCCATTGTCCACAGCACTGGAGACGGTAAATTCCTGCCCTGGCGTCTGCATCCAACTGCATATGCAGTGGGGGAAGCCCAAGGAGTATCTCCAGTGCAGCTGTTGGAGAAAAATTATGTTAAGTGACTCTTCGGTATTTGTGGAATGGAGTGCCTATGTTTAAAGACTGGTTGTATAGTAGGATAGCAGATATTGTCACGTGAATTAGTGATTAAAGGCGGGGAGTGGATTGGTGAATAGATTTAGTGACCACTTACAGGCTGTAACTACAAATAACTATATCAGTATTTCTGATTTCCACACAACAAATCACTCCACACTAAATTTTATTGGCCTGCTTTCACTAGTCATTGCTAGGTAACAGCTCTCAACAGTGGCTATTCCTCTGCAGTGTCTTCACTAGACTTTTCCTGGTAACGAATCTTAAGCTTCCGTTGTCCGCTTCAGTCAGAGTCACGTTACCACTGACGGTCAGTCAGTCTGTCTGTCTTGGTGTCGAGCCCCAGCTGGGGCTCATGACCAGATATTTCTTTTGTATGAAAGTTACTGTCCTGCCCATGTGTAGCGCCCTCTCTGACGAGAGGTCGGGTCTGTCATTTGTTAGTCAGTCTGTAGTAATTTGTCCATTGTCTGTATTTACACATATTTGCAATACATACTTATATAAATGTACAATATTTACACGGCCTCCCTCAGTCCAGGCTAGGTACAGCAGATTATGCCCTTTTATATATATATAAATAAATATCCTAATAGTATTAGCTATCACGGCAGTCTAGTCACTTGAACGGTCGTATGCCTGACCGCCGCCAAGTTTAAGCCTCTTATACTTTCTGTGTCGGGCTTCGCCTTGTCCGATGTTGCGAACATTCTCATTATCATGATTTTGTATGACTTCTGCTTGTTGCCTGCATAATTTTGTTATGTAATCATAAACGTATGGAATTTTGAATGCCATGTGCAAATCGCGGACCGGTGTGCGCCTTGGAAAATTGCCAATCGTGCGGAGAACCTTGTTTTGCAGGCGCTGCAATTTCACTAGATGAGTGTCTGCCGCGAACTCCCAGGCGGGACTAGCATAAGTCGTTGTCCGCTTGTTAACACTCCACAATTAAAACCTCAACCGAACCGTAGCGACAATTGCCTTCAAGATAACTTCTCGGCACGGATCACGCAGAAAACACGGTCTCTATATTGTTTAGGAGACACGTTTACCGCACAGTTGCATAGTAACAGCCGCGGCGAGGGTAACATAGAAAACGTCGTTCTTCTATTGTTGCGTGCTTTCGTTTCTAAAGGAATGTGTTTAAGGAGCCTTTGCTTTGAAACGGGTTGCATAACCCCGTTATTCTATTGTTGTGTGCGTGTATGTTGCGGGAATTACATAACAACGGCCCCTGTCTACAAAGTCGCCACAATATACTTGGAAATTGAGTTTTTTCACCGTAATGTATAACTCAACTAAAAGCTATCCCTGTAAGAGGCCGTGGAGTTCCAAAGGGTGGTGAGACGTCGAGTCTCCCACATTTTCAAGACAATCGGCTAACAGATGGAGGTGAGGTTATCAGCCTTAGGTGTCGGCTGCCCTTTATCCACAGGGAGATTCCTGGTACTCATTTCTGTTAGAGGATGAGTTGACCCCAGGGTCATAGTGCGGCTGGAAGGATGAAATCAAGTGAAAAATTCAGTCACTTCATCGGGAATTGAACCCGCGACCTTCCGTCATGTATCATAGTGCCTCAATTATCTACACTACGGCGTTTAACACAGCTATATTTCAATAGTTTACACTTTTATCTAGCATTACATTTTAATAAGAATATCAGCCAATATATGTTTCAGCAATAATCTATTTATGTTTTCACCTGCTGATGATCGTATGGAGTCGAAACATACAGTGCGATAGAGACAATAAAGTATATAAGTTTTTATTACACGCTTGTGAGACGGTAATTTTAACATATATTTGCAGGCTGTAAATGAAAGTTGCGGATATGTTTTATGTGAAGAGTACACATACCAAAACAAGAAAATTGTCCATGAAAATATACGTATGTCTGAAAACATTTAATTTTTTAGTTATAGCTGAAAGGGCACATTTGTAATAAGTGCTCAAAATGCCCCCATGTGATTCAATGAACGATTCGACACGTCTCTTCATGGACCGCTCATCCGTTCAGAGATGCCGGGATATTTGCGGATTATCTGACGGGCGTCCACAGTGCGATGGCGAAGTGCCTCATCGTTGCAAACAGGAGCTGCATACACAAGGGATTTTAGGAGTCCGCAGGGGGAAATTTCCAGGGGACTCAAATTTGGCGAGCGTGGAGGTCATGCAGTGGGTCCTTCTCTACCTGACCAACGGTCGTGATAGGTGTTATTGAGAACATCTCGCACAGCACTGCTAAAATGTGCCAGAGCACCATCGCGCATGCGCCACACTCGTGCTCTGACTGCCGGCCTGCCATGTTTTAGTGGTCAAGTCACAAAACGTGAAGCAGGCAGCTATTACTCTAGCAGAATGATATGGACCATCGCAGTTTATAACAACAATTGAATAGCTCACGAGAGTATTCTTGCAGCAATAGCTCACAAATTAAATGTTCCCGGACGCATGTTGATGTGGACATTTTTCTTGTTTTGGTATGTGGAACTCGCCCCCAAAGTTTGTCCTCGACTCTCAGCTACACCCTGCATATCTTATGCAACCCTACAAACTCTTTTTACTTTTATCTTCGAAGTTTCTAAAACTGAGCACCATGTTTTGTTATCGTTTGCAGTCTCTTCTGGTTTTTGTGTATTGCTGTGGCAGTGGGCTGCGTGGCGACCCTGAACATGTCAACCTGGACACGCTACAGGGACAGTCCAACCGTCATCTCCATGGAGAACAACTACAGAGATTGGAACATTTCCTTCGTTTCTGTGTATATCTGCCCTGATCGTACAGTCAACGAAACGAGGTTGAAGGCAACCTCAGAAGAGTAAGTGAACAGAAATTCCTTTTATGGTGAACGTTCGGGGGATTTTATGTGCTCGCAAACTGCACGATGCTGCACGGCAGATCTGTCCGGCTTGCTTTTGTGCAGCCCGCGACAAAACGCTTACATCCACCGAAAGAGTTTTCAACACTAACCTTATGCTTAAATAATGATGTGCTCATTCAGTATCCTATAAATGACTGACTGACTGACTCCTTAAGAAGTCTGCCGTGGCTTAGCTACTCAAGAAATTTTCAAGAATTTATGCAACCTGAAGGTGTATTTCCGGGGGGCACGCGGTAGCGTAGTTGGTTGAGGCACTATGCTACAAGCCGGAAGGTCGCGGTTTCAAGTCCTGATGAGGTCATTGGATTTTTTCAATTGACCTAATCCTTCCAGCCGCACTGTGACCCTGGGGTCGACTCAGCCTCTAACAGAAATGAGTACCAGGGATTAATTAAATAATTTTCCTGGGGAGTAAAGCGCGGCCGGCGCGTAAGGCTGACAACCTTACCTCCATTTTTGAGCCGACTGTCTAGATAGTGTGGGACCCTCAACATCTCACAACCCTATGGGCCTTCATGGCCTGTTACAGGGATAGCTTTATTTTATTTTATTTTTTTACTTTTACTGTGAACCTAGTCCTTCACACGATAAAGTGCAGTGGGACACATATTTGAACGTATTATTCAGTTTACATTCTATACAGTATAGACGAAAATGTTTGTGAGACCAGAAGTGTAAGACAGTGAAGGCATCCACCATAGATTGACGATTCAAGCAGGCGCTGGGAATTCCCTCTCCACTGCCATGTTCAGACATACTGTGACGTTCCATCCAATGAACATCTGAGCCTTTTCCCTGTGGAGTGAAGCGGCCAGCGTATAAGTTTGGCCTCCGATCGCCATTTTAATCCCCAGTCTGGAACGCTCGCAACTTCACTTCCACACCTTCGTGTCACGGTGCTTAAGTACTCGTACTTGCGTGTGTTGTCACTATGCTTTTATTTTTATTAACTGAATACTAGGAATACAAAGAGACTAAATAACACGTAAAATTTAATATTAATATTAGGTTCGCGGACATTAAAAATTGTCAGGTTTTCTAAGTTGGTTATCTGTAACAAGAATTCTCACAATTGATATAAATTCTGTATAAGGAAAGTGATCGTATCCATCGAACTTCTTGAAGGTCTGTATTGTTTCAATTTGTGTAGATAACATGTAGTTGTGATACAGTAGATTTATAATGAGGTGTAATAAGATTTGTTTGTTTCAGACGAGCTAACTCTACTGAATCAAATGATGTGGAGCGTCTGAAAAGGTTTCTAACCGCTCTCGCTGGTCTTACACACGAAAATTTGAAAGATCTGAAGGAATTCGCAGGATACACACTGATACATCCGAGTGAATACTTGGACTTGGTTCACAAGGTGCTGTACTATTACAATCGTCTCTGCTGCTCCTAGCACACGAGATCGTCAATACTTCCATTTCATAATTCGTAATCCGTCTGCCATACCATCATCCTTCCACCTAATCAACTGACAAACAAAAACAACCTCCGCGGTTCTAGTCCACAAGCGAACTATACCGACCGAGCGACCGCCGCTTGTCGGCGAAATTAGTGCCAGCTTTAGCTGATAGAGAATGTTGCATAGTCAGCGCAACGAATCCCCACGGCCGTTAATTTTGGTTTTCTAGACCGGAGGTATTATTTCCTTGAAAAAAAAACTCCTCAATTATCCTCACGAAGCTGAGTGGACCCCGTTCCGGCCCCACTACTACTCTAGAAAATCTGGTAGCGTCTGGAATCGAACCCGTACTCCTGATTCTGTAGCCAGGAACTCTGATCACTAGACCACAGAAGCGGTCTCACCAAATCAACTAGCCTATGAAAATTCCACTGCGCTGCCCAACTTCAAAGCACTGAAAGGGGGTGGAAAACCCGGTTCGTGTCCGGGGAGTCTCACTGTAAAAAATATATTTTTCTCAATATGCCCACAAAACACGTACGCTGTAACGATCAGATCAGTGAATCGCAGGGAAGCAAATAAGATTTGGGCCAATAAAGTACAAAAATATTTATTTATGTTGCTGTTCAACCATCACCTACTAACGTTTGTTAGATTGTATATCAATATTTTATTCTGTTTTTAGTCATATATTTTCCATAACGTTCTAAGTTGTTTATTAGATGTCCCGTGAAATCTAATAATTTTTTCAAGGAATATGTAGCAAGCAATTCTCACACAATTTTCCGACAAAATTGTCGGGATCCACAGAGAAGCGAAATGTTTTTGCATACTTTGGGGGATGGAAGAATATTCTCGTGGGCCGCAAAAAAAAACTGGCTGGTTACTTAAGACTGGCGTACCTCCAATTGGACAGCCCTGAAATAAAGCGTAGAAAATTGAGTTGTTGAGGTCATTGGATTTTTCAATTGACCTAATCCTTCCAGCAGCACAATGGCCCTGGGGTCAACTCAACTTCTAACAGAAATGAGTACCGAGAATCTTCCTGGTGGTGGGGAGGGTAAAGGGCGGCCAGTACGTAAGGCCGTACCGCCATCTGTGAGCCGATTATCTAGATCAGGGGTCTCCAAACTTTTCGAAACGCGGGTCACATTAGATATTCCAGCACTTTCAACTGGCCGGATAAAATGAGAAATTAATAACTCTAGGTATATGAATTTTATCGAAAGCACAGAATTTCATAAACTAAATACAAAGTACGTGAGAATAAATTATCGTATATTAATGACAACAGAGAGTAGCAACAAATGCTCATATTTTCATCACAAACTATAATAAAACAATGAATGTGAATGACGGAACTCTTTTTGCATTCTTAAAATCTGACTACATTGAGGTGATGATGATCTGTTACAATTACACTGCACCACTGCAAGAAGTCTTGTGCACAAGACGGCTAGTAACGAACTGCTCGCGCTACCTACATTGCCACGAAGTGACACTGCCTATCGAGGCCGAACAAGCACCAAGAAATACCGCGCAGTATACGGTCCAGAATTAGTAAAATTGTAAATAATATTAATATTAACATAATATGGAATATCAATATATTTTAGATACAATCTTAGTTAATGAATTTCAAATCTATGAACAAGTATTTTTTTACCAGTACTCATTGGAAAATTAGTTCAATTGGCGCATTTCTGCACAATTCTTTCGCGGGCCGTAGTTTGGAGACCCTTGGTCTAGATAATGTGGGAGCTTCGACGTCCCACAACTCTATGGCACTCCACGGAATATTACAGGAAAATAATTACCTTTTTCTACCACTGAACTTGCTTTCCCAACACTTCCGGTGCTCGCTGTGCTGCACCCTACGCACCGGCCTGTCAGCTTGGTACTTCATCGTCCGCCCGGGGACAGGAGATCGACGGGGCTGACATTGGAATCCAAAAATTTGAACACATGGAAAAGAACAAAGAATTTTATAATGGCTTCCCACAGGAGCAGTGGAGAGCACTGAAGTAAATGCGTGCGTCATGACTGTGCCATAGCTCGCCGGCCCGAGTTCGACCCCTTATCATATCACGTGGTATTTTTGGTGAACAAAGTGGTATTGGGGCAGGTTTTATCCGAGTATTTCTGTTTATCATGACAATTTTCATTCTACCAAATTGTCCATTCTCATCTATCATCCGGTCTTGGTATACATAGGCCAGAGAGTAGCCGACGTACAAAGTGGACTCAGTCTTACCCCACCCCAAGAAACTGAAAAGGAAAGACATGCACTCTGTGAAGGTACGAGATACGTGCATTAAATGTTACAGAATAAAGTAGTCTACTATATTCTGAAAATATTATTCGTTCGCATGATTTTTTTTGGCTTCTGAAACAATTCAAAATAGAAGCTTGATATTTAAACCCGGCTTAAGAATTTTAATGAAACTGGTTATACCCGACATAGGATAGGTCTTTGTAGCAGTTCTTCAAGATCTTTAACTAAATATCGACTTTTCTTCCGTATTTATTCACATATTTCAATTTATTAGAGTTATTCTTTAACATGATTCAATAAACTGGTTAAACTGTAGCAGCATATCGTCCAGTCGTTGCAATGTTTCGGTCATACATACTTGGTTTGATTGGTTTTCAGTCCGTTTTGTTGTTGTTTCAGCAGACTCGGAAATATGAAGCTGTTCATATCCTGGCTTATTTGTCTCGGACACAGCGGTGAAACCAAATGGTAAATCCGGCCGTGTCCGGAAACAGTACGGGCAATTTCCAAGGGGCAATTTGATCTCCTCTGTGACTGATGTGAATGTCGTTGCTGAGCTGTATTTTCTCAGGCTTACATGCCTCTATTCTACACTTATTTCCTTCGCGTTTATACCCTGGGAGGAGCTCTCGCTATAGAGCCGTCAAGTGGAGCCTCCATCGGTGTTCCCGCGAACTCGTTGCAAATGGCGACGAACGGAAACATACCTAAGAGTTATATGTGTACATTAAGAGTTGTTAGTTATTCCCAAAACTTGAGGTAAAGTAATATGAAGTGAGGTATTTTCTGTGCCGTCAGATGTCCAGAATCTGCCTAACGTTCGTGGTCCCAAGACGTTAAAATCGCAGTAAATGGCTAGAAATATTTTATAATATTTCTAACAACGGGATAATACTTCTAGGTAAAATACGACTTTACTTATTATTCTGGAGAAGAAGAAGATGATGATGATGATGATGAAGAAGAAGAAGAAGAATACGACGAAGAAAATGAGTATGAATTAGAGGAGGAACAAGAGAAAGACACAAAAGAACCGCTTCTGCTAGAGATCTGGACAGACTGTGGGAGATGCTATGCTTACAACTCTCAAATCGCAAGACCGTAAGTTCTTTTCTTCTTCAGAAATTTATAATCTTAAGGTCACCATAAAGTATTAAGCTGTATAGTTATTTATTATTAAGGTCTGTGATATAGGTCTAAGATCCGTGAGGCAACTGTGGCATTTGAGTCTGAATAAACAATTTGGATTCTGAGGGCCTTTGCGAGTAATACTTGGTCAATGTACAGGGGATGGATAAAAATATGGAAACATCTCGTGAAATGAATGCCTGAATTTAAGTGTTTATTTTAGCGACGTTTGTAGGTCACGCTGTCGTATCTGCCCAACACCACTACCTGCACAACGTCCGCAATACGTTGCAAGCTTCATTTCTTGTCGAGACAGTGTTTTGTGTATCACGTCAGAGCTAACAGAATTCGAACGTGGTCAAATTGTTGGGGCCCCTATGGTGGGTGCTTCCGTAACCAAGGTAGCCGTGTTTTGGTGTTTTGCGAGGCACAGTATCCAAGATTATGACCGCATACAGGAGGACTGAAAAAACCGCATCCGATAAACACCAGCGTGGACGGAAATGTGTGTTGAGTTATCGAGACAGACGAACATTGCGTAGGATTGTGACGAAAAGTAGGAACGCTGCAGCTTCAGAAGTGACTGCTGAACTGGATGTCACGCTCACAAACCCTGTCAGCACCAAAACAGTACGAAGGAAACTCCACAAGCAGGGTATTTCTGGACGAGCTTCAATTCCAAAGCCACTCATCAATGATCAAAATGCCACTAAGAGGAGAGTGTGGTGCCGAAGTCATAAAACCTGGACTATGGAGCAATGGAAGACGGTCATTTGGTCGGATGAGTCCACCTTCACACTGTTTCCGACTTCTGACCGAGTTTACGTCTGGAGAACGCCATCCCAAGTTTACGATCCAGATTGTTTGCTGCCAAGAGTGAAACATGGCGGGGGTTCGATCATGGTATGGGCAGCCATATCGTGGTATTCTGTCGGATCCATCATTACCCTGCAATGTCACGTCCCTGCCAACGACTGTGACCATTTTGGGCGATCAGGTCCATCCCATGGTGCAAACTTTGTTCCGTAATGGTGATGCCATTTACCAAGCCAACAGTGCCTGTGTTCACATTGCTCACATCGTCCAGGACTAGTTTTCTGAGAACGAAGATGAAGTGTCACGTCTGCCATGGCCCCACAATCGCCAGATATCAATATTATTGAGCTTTGTGGTCTGTTTTGGAGAGCAATCTGCGTACGCGCTATCCAACTCCATCATCGTTAACAGAACTTGCCAATGTTTTGCAGGAAGAATGGTACAAGATTCCCTTGCAAATCGTACAGGACCTCTATTTATCCATTCCAAGGAGACTGCAAGCAGTTCTGCAAGCCAGAGGTTGTCCTACACCATATTAGTCACGGTAATGTGTTTCTTTTTCTTGTGTGTTTCCATATTTTTGTCCATCCCCTGTACGTGGGACTAGAGACATTAAAAAGAAACGGCGAATATCGCTTATGCAACGAGTTATGTCTCAGTCCTAGAAATTGCCGAAGAAGATAATATTACTTAATGAGTAGCATTAGAGTTTCTATTCTTTACTAAATGTCCTAGGATTATAAATGAATAAATGTGAGTTGGACTGTGCACACATTATGTAAAACAGAGACAATGAATATTAATAAAACTAGGCTGTGAAGAAAGCCCCCGTTACACTATGATTAGATTCTAGATAATGTTAAAACGGATGTGAAAACAGACCTGAAATATGTGAACTGGACTGAGCTGACTAAGGATAGGATTAAACGGCTTTACATATAATATTGATCGTACAGTAAGACCATAAATTTCAAAATGTTGTTCACAACAGCGGCTCTCAATAAGAGTTCTCATTTATTATGTTTAATTGTTAAACGTGACATCTGGCAACAAAACTTAAAACAAAAATTTTGCATTTTAAACAATCCCATAAAAATATTATTATTTTTTTTAATGTAAATTAACCATGAGCAAAAGACTAGATCAGAGCTTCTGTAAAGGGCAGTTAAATACATACATTTCTACAATAAAAAGGAGACTTTTTTTATTTCACACCTGTTTGATAAATTAAAGCTTCAAGGTAATTTCACTTCTGAATTGAAACACGGTGTTAGTGTCCCCATCTACAATGATCTTTGGTTTCTTTGACAAAGCTTCATCAATTTTATATATTTTATATTTCCTAGTGATAGGATAATCTTAAATCGCAAAGGATAATGTCACCCCTATGAGTGACTATAGACGGGGTTTGGAGTCGTAATTGGATTCATTGATCATTTACAGGTCGTAACTGTAGCATTATCGCTAATTTACACTCCTTAAAATTCATTATAGCACGCACTAAGTCTTCTCAGTCTTCTATGTTCACCAGTCGTTGCCTCCTAGCGACTTCCAACAGAGGACGTTCCCCTTACTTTGGGTTCCCGAACTGTCCCCATGCCTCAGCTACCAGCTTCTAACAGCAACAGCTCACAAGGACTGACCTCAAAAGTCCTCTAACTCACTCCACTCTCTCTCTCTGTTTACAGGAACAACAAATCTCGTCCCGTGATTGTTAAGTCATATTTGGAATCCGGAATAGCCACAACGATCAAAGATATGAACAGTGGATTCACTGTATGTAACTACCCTATCTTATAGTCTATACGAGTACAATGACAAAAGTAAAGTGTAAATACTTACGACAGTCCCTTTGCGGTTTGAGATCCCCAGCACCGCCTAAGTGCGACGTAGCAAGCCAGGCTCTGGCGGAAGTATATGGCACTATTGTCAGATCTCCAGTTGAACTTGAAACACCAAAGAGTGCAGTCGCAAACTTGCAGCGATCAGAGCATCGGTATGTGTAGAGGCAGAAAGGAACACGAGGCGATTCTTTCTCAAATCAGGAATTTCAGTAAAGCCCTTGGCAGTACGTGACTGTCGGCCAGGGCTGTATCCAGGCGGACAGCGCTGAGCGCTGGTACGAGGAATCATAACACCGCAACGGGACTGTAGTTAGAATAGGGCATCCAGCACATAATGTCATGATGTGACCTTTGGAATAGTAATGCAAAATATGCAGCAAGCACACATATGATGTTATCAGTAGTGGAGATGTCCAGGTTTGTTAGATGAAGGTGTAATATTAATTGTGCAAGATTATTATTGAAACGTTTCGGTAGCACAGTTGGTATAGCGACGGATTTCCAGCTGGACCTCCGGGGGTCTATTGCCCACAGGACCGAGAGATTCTGCGCCACTGCACAGAGTCCAATCCGGCACTGATGTCCGCTCACTCCCCTGTCCAATGGCTACCGGAGACTTTTTCTACGGGCGAAAAGCGACCGGGGCTTGAAGCTGGCCACTCACTTCTAATAGTGCCGGGGGCAAAAATAAGTAGTATTATGCAGCCAATCCACCGTAAACGTTCACGGCCCAATGTTTGATTAATTAAGAGCAGGGTTCTTACCTTTTTACGTAGTAAGTCCCACAATACGATAACATAATTACATCAGGCAAATTATTACAGAGGACAATCGGGGCCGAATTGTTTGAGATATGTAAGAATTGTCATGGAAATAGTGACCCTCAGACACGAGTAAACCAGTTTTCCTTTGCAAGACATCAGTCCACAAGTGCTCCATACACATATATTGCCGTATTTTATGCTAGCGATAGGCCCCAACAAGTGTAATCTTTCATCACTATTCCCACTCGCCCAAACGTGTTTCAAAGCCCTGCAGGAAAATCCAACCGGATGGCCTTTTAAATCCAAAGGAGTGAAATTTTGGGTTAGTATATTGTAGTGTTTGCCAAGTACAGTGGCCGCGCTCTCAAAGGTCTGAACCGTCTTCGACCGCTCAAACACTGAAATCGTGTGTTCGAATCCCACTTAAGGTATGAATGTCTGTGTGCGTTTGTGCTGTCATCACTGCAGGTGTCAGGCTCGCGACTGGCTGATCTCCCGTCCAAGGAGTCCTACCGTCTGTCTATACTGTTGTATCCCGATGATGGTGATGGGATTCGAGAGGTTAGCCGAGCGGGAGAATGTTCCTCGTAGTACGTTGGACACTTAAGGATTGAAATCCAAGTCGAACTCGCAGTACGATACAGTGAATATATTTAATATAAATGATGTTGATACAAATGTTGTACAGAGATCAAGAATATTGCGTGAATAGAAGTTTATGAAATCCCTATGACGGTGCACAGAGACTCAGTGCAGTGTATGAACTGAAATCTATGAAGTCCCTATGACGGTGCACAGAGACTCAGTACAGTGTATGAACTGAAGTCTATGAAGTCCGATCCGCGCCCCAAAACATGGTCTTTTAAAGAGGCTAGGATGGGCGTTGGGTGGCAGTCACATGCTATGATTTCACGTGGAGTTCGTGCTCATAGCAGATGATCCCAAAGTTCCTTGTTCCCTAGTCGACAAAGAAGTGTTGCATCATGCTTGTTTGTCTCAACCAGAGCTCATTATCTTATTGTTATAATTATAACTTCCTGTCTGTACAGTCAGACAAAATCATATACATAATGTTTAAAGTAATATACAGGATGTCCCAGGAGGAATGGACCAAACTTCGGGAGGGTGTTCCTTATGTTAAAGTATGCCGATATAACCCAAAACACCTATGTCCAAAGTTGAACGGTTACAGAGATAATGGCCCGAGAAAAGTGTGGTCTTCTGGTGGGTCCACGCACTGTACCTGTCAGCTGTACTTATGTAGTTGGCTTATACCAGAACGCTCAGTCAGCCATGTTACATCAGCGCTTGCCAGTCATGTGTCATGTATAGTGCTTGGAAACCCTAAGAACAATTATGACATGGTGAGCGAGTATTTTGTACTTCAATTTTATGGCTTCACATCACTCACAAGTTAGTTTGATGT